GAGGACGGCGGCGACGGCAGCGGCCGAGGGGGCGGTGGCTACGAGGTGCGTGCGGAGCAGGCGGAAGAGGCGTCGTACGGGAGGCTAGGTCGCAGAGGAACATCGTTGGGGTGAGTAGCCGGGGCCTCGCAGGGGAGGTGGGGCCTGGCCGCACCTGCTGCGCGGACCCGGGGCGCGGGAACGCGCGCCCCCACCGTACCCGCGCGCGCCGCTCCACGCCCCTCTGCCGCTTTTTCCGGGGGCGGGGAAGGAGCCGGGACGGGGGCTGGCGAGGGTCAGTTTCTGGGCGCGGGCGCTCCGGGAAGCGGCAGCGAGGGGCCGGTGGAGACAGTGTGGTCCCGGAAGGTGTAGTGGGAAGTAGGTGTCTGGGGGCGTCGGGGTGACTTTGCCGGGCTCCCAGACAGAGGAGTCGGAATCTGGAGAAGCCCAGGTTCCTAGAGCAGTCTCGCAGCCGGCCTGAGACAAGGTTGACAGAGACCGAGAGGAGGCGGAACTGGGGACGCGGCGTTGGGGTTCGGAAAGTTTGGCATGCTGGGGCCTTCCTCGCCCCTGCCCTGGCTGGGCTCCAAGGAGGAGCCGGTTGTTATGGAGAGAGTTGTGAATCAGTGCCGGCGTGCGGCGTCAGACACACCCACGACTTGGGGAAGGCGATCTGTCAGTACTGATAGGGGGCGGCCAACCTGTTGCCTGAGTTTCCAACTTCATATGTATGCGCACGTGCCTAATGCACGCATACAACTTTGCCCTAGGGCATTCTATATCAATTGTTGCTAAGGATTTTGAGGCCGGGGGCGGATATCCATCCTAAGTTCTCACTTCCTCGTCGACTCAAATCAGCTGTTTTATTTCTCAGAACCCTGTTGTGTTTCTGTCATTATGAGGGCCAAGGAAGTAGGGAGGCACTGTTTTTTGTTTTCCTTAAAAGTAGTACAGACTTGGTAGTTACTAGGCAGAAAATACAGATTCTGTTCAACGTGCGGGCTAGAAAATGGTGGTGGTCAGGCAAGCCTGAGTGTAAGGTGCAGCAAATAAATCATCACACCAGTGCTCTCAGGGCGCTGCATCCCCTCATGAGTCAATATGTGGCGGTTGTAGTTATCATCCTTGGGAGAAAAGAGTATTGGAGGTAGGGAAGAAGTCAGTATTTCCTGACTTTTGATTAAGGCAATGTCTAGAACTGGTACAGAGACTGTCCTGAAATTTAATCGTAATCTGTGCAAGAAAATTGAAGAAAATAACTTGTGAGTTTTCATTCAGCTCTAAAATTTTGTGGTTCAGTTTCATAACTGAGGCTCTGTAAAGTATGCTGCCTGAGGTGCTTACATCTTGGAACCAATAATAACCTTGCTCTGTAGCACTTAGAGTACTGGGAATTCAATGTCTCTTGCTCTGCGGACTGTACCAGTTTTTAGGACAGGTATCCTGTCATTTTTATTCATAAGCATTCATAAGCATTTTATTCTTAAGCATCTACAAAAGTTTGCTGCAGAGTAGGCACAGGATAGGTATTTGTTATATATTGCACTGTGTCTGAGTGTTTATTAATGTACAGCAAACATTTAACTCTGTTCATCAAGTAGTTAATACCTGTGCCCCCCTGCCCTATATCATGTTACGTGTGGGAGGAGGGTTGTGGGTACAAATGACATAGAAGACCTGGCTTTTTTTTTTTTTTTAAGAATAAACAGTCTGGCTGGGAAAACAAGCATATGTATGTCAAATCATCATGAAACCAAATGAGGCAGTATGTAAATAAGTGTTGTGGGAGGAGCTGTACTTTAAATGCAGTAGAAATTTAGAAAAGCTAAGACCTGTGGTGGGCTGAGCTACTGAACTCTTTGGAAGAGGTAAGATTTGATCCGGTCTTTGAAAGAGCTATAAAATTTGAATTAGAGAAGAGATAAGAAATCACATGTTGAGAAAATCGTGTGAGTGTGCTTGATGGGGGATATATTGAGGAGACCTTCATGTCCTGTCCGGTGAATGGGGTAGGCGATCACTGATAGGGAGATACTGGAGAGATAAGGTTTAGCAGGTTGGGAAGGGAAAAGTGTTAAGACTAAGGCAGGCTTATCAGCATCCCACTGATAACGGGATAGGGCCTGCTTGCTGGGTGGGATGGGAGCTGTGTTAAAATAGAGTCTTAGACAAGAATACGTGTTATCCTTACTTAAGATTAAGGGATATTATGGTTGAACCAGGATCAGGTTGTTGTATACTTCTGATTTCAGTTACTAATTCGAATAAATGCCTCACTAATGTGAGTGTATCTTATGTATTTAGTCAACAGTGCGTGTCCCCATTTCTAAAATCTACCTGATGTGCTTGGGCCTCTCCATTGGAAATCTGAAATGATGTACCCAAAGCAATTATCCAGCCACTCTCGGTGACACAGTTTTGCTTGGGATTATCTCTTACAGTGGTCTGTGAGGATTGAAGTTACTGCTAATCCTGTAAAATATACAAATAATGTTTGCTGGGAAAGGAGTCTATTTGAAGAAGGATGCTAACAAATATTGACAAAAACACTTGAGAAAATTAAAAATGTTGCTGCTGAATATTGAACCTTTGGTCTTTATAATATCTTTTGTTGTTATGTGGAAATTCTTTTGAGTGGTACATAAACCTGAAGTTGAATTGCTAACGTACCCTGTGTAAAGTTGCAACACCAAATGTTGCATTATTTAACAACTCAGCAAATATTTATTGGGTGCTGGCTATGGCTAGATACTGTGGTAGGTGCTGGGAACACAAACAATAAGACACGGTCTACCCCCTGAGATACTAAGTGTTCATCAGACTAGACGAACACCTAAATGTGGTGTATTAAAAGAGTTAATCACTTTGGAATAAGTAAAATGCTGAGGGCATTGATGACTTTGGCTGGGGAAAAATTGGTAGAATCAGGGAAGGCTTTAAAGAGAAGAGGATAGAACTTAGCCCTGCAGGTTAAGTAGAATTTTGTATATGTAAAAGGGAAAAGAAGCATTCCAAGCAGAGGGGAGAGCATAAGCAAAGTTGCCAAAGATTAAAATTAATAGGGTTTTTGGAAAACCTTGAGTTGTTTCTTGATGAGACAGGAAAGGTATATTTGGAGCCAAATTATGAGGGGGTCTTCCATACCATTCTAAAAAGCCTAGACTTTCCTCCCTTCAATGCCACCCTTATGTGGGTGATGGAGAACCTTGGAAGGTGGACTAATCAGATCAGAAAATTAACTGGCAGTTCCTGCGCAGAACTGCATTAGTGTGGAGAGGCAGGGAGACCAGTTTGGATGTAGATGAGATATGCTGGGAGCCTGAAGAGGGAGAGTGGGAATGGGTGGACTATAGAGGTATTTTAGATGTTAAAATCTCTAAATGTTATGACCATCTAGAGGAGGGAGAGTGAGAAGTCAAAGATGTGTCTGGCTTGAGTAACTGGTGATTATGATGACATTAAATTAGAAAACACAGGAGGAAGAACAGATATGCAGTGGAGAGAAGAAATTATGGCATGTTAATTATCTAGGTCCCTGTGTAGAATTTCGAGAGAGCCAGTAGGTAATTGGGAATTCTACTCCAGAGTTGATGAGACAGTTGAGGAATAACTGTGACAATCTCCAAGGCTATGGAAATAGTACTATTCTAAGAGTGAGTATAGTAGCTAATGCCGTGGACTTTGGAGTCAGGAAAACCTGAGGTCAGATCTATTTCACTTATTGGTTGGGTTGGGTGACCTTGGGCAAGTTATTTAACATCTCTAAGCCTAAATTTCTTCCTAAAAGTGGGGTTAATAATACCTTAAAGAATCACTGTGGAGATTAAATAAGATAGTATGTGCACAATGCTTAGCACAGTGCCTAGCTTATAAATGTTTAATAAATGATAGCTGCTGCTATTAGTAGTGGTAGTTAGAGTTAGTGTTGTAGAGGTAGTAGAAGAAGATAGTAGAAGAAGAAGATATAACTACCCAAAAATTAGAGAATGAGAACTGGAAAGGACAAGGAATGGAACTTTGGGACATCAACACTTAGATCAAATTTTGATTGGTCCTTAGACTTGAGTGTGCATCAGAAATACCTGAGGCCTTGATAAAACACAGATTGCTGGACCCCCCCGCCCATAGTTTCTGATTGAGTAGGTCTGAATGGGGTTGAGAATTTGCATTTTGAACAAGTTCTCAGGTAATGCTGATGTTGGTGTTCCCATGACCAAACTTTGAGAATTACTGACTTAGAGGCTGGATCAAAGAAGAGAAACCAGCATAGAGACTAACAAAGAGATTGAGGTGAACAGAGACCCAGGAGATAGTTCAGAGAAGGTTAGGGAGGTAGCAGCCTGAAGACTCTGTAGATCCACCAGTGTTCTTTCCAGTTCCATAGACTTCATCACATTCTTATTTCTGTCTTCTCCAGGATTTGGCATAATGCTTGGCACATAGCAGTGCTTGAATGAACCTTGGAAGCCCCTTAATTACTGTCCTTGTGCATGATTGCACATACTTCACACACAGATTTCATTCATCCTCGAAATCTTATATCCCTGCTGAGTCATAAAGAAGATACTGTTTCTAATTTTACAAACACACATGCAATAACTACAGAAAATCTCTTTCAAATAGCTGATGCGTTAGCTAGGTGCTGTGACTTCATGTTAGATGTCCTAACCCTTGCGCCCCTTTATTTTTAATGTCAGAGTCCAGTTTGCAAAATAATTGTCAATAACAAGTGTCAAGATTACAGTCTGTGTCTTGTATTAGGCACTTTGCAGGTTTATAAGATAAGCAAATAATATACTCCCTGTATCTCGGAAGTTTACAGTAGGATGGTCAAAGGAAAGGAACAAGGAGATATCACAGAAGTGTAGATTGAGAGGAACCTGAATATGAAGACTCATTCCTTGTTTGCCAGTAAATTTTTGATCTTATGTGTCTCACATACTGAGGACTTTTGGCATATAGAACAAATGTTAGTTCTCATCCCTGACAGGAATCTGTAAGAGAGTTCCATGGTATAAGAAAATCAAACACTAGTTGTGCAAAGATACAAGCACATAATAAAGAGATTTCAGGAGGTAAGTTGTAGTTTCATGACTAGCCAGTTAGCTGCTCACCATGCTTCCTGGGCTCT